AAGGAGACAAAGACGTGGGACACAGTGACAGTTGTCTTAGCTGTTAGCAATTAGCTGTTAGTGTTAGCTTTCAATCATTTTTTCCTCTAGCTGTTTAGCGTTAGGCTCCACTAAATGTATTTCACATGTTTAGCATCTGCTATATTTTTTACATACTGTATTAGCATTAGCAAAGCTATATTTTAGTCAGTGGACTGGGAGTTAGCAAAGCTAACTGCTGAGTGGTGGATCAGCTGGAGCATAATTCACACTCGTCAGTCAGTTTGCCACAATAGCAGTTTACATGTCCCAACTAGTTTTATTTTTTAACTCTATTATGATCTACTGGAGCAAACTATTTGACAGCTGTGCCATACAAGTTAACTGTATGTTACTCAGTCAATGCAAACTTGACTTGTGTGTTTTAAAATTTTAAATAGTTGACTAATAAACTCTACATTGTTTATTTCTTGATTAGTTGGAGCATAATTCTTACTAGTTTTCAATATTGTTTCAAAAAAAGCTCAATAGTCCCAACTATTGAAATTTTAATGAACTAAATTTAACTACTCAACATTTTAGGCACACTGGTGTAATACTTGACATCTTTTAGGCTCAATGGTTAACTAGTAAAGCACGTGTTACTGGTAAGAGTATTTGTTGAACTAGTGGATGAAAATGTTGCTTTTGATATCAATGATATTGAATAAATGCACAAAGGACTTGCCATACCGAGCTCTACAACACAAACAGAAACGATGACAGTTCGCTGTGTGACTTCATTAAGATTATTCTCTTCTTCCTCCGCATGTGTGTTTATTCAGGAAATTAAACTGGTGGCCATTTATTATACTGGGAAAAAGAAGCTGAATACTTTTTAGAGTAAATACCTGAAATTGCAAATACCTGCTTGTAGTCAACCAAGCATTTATTGTATACAAATATTGGCACTAAATATTTCTTTTTTGTGTGTATAAATTAGTGTAAAGGGAGTTGGACAGTGGGAGAGTCGATCATCTCTGCATCAAAGAAAAAAGCTTGATAGCCTRTAAAATAAAATAAAATAAAAAACGTGTACAAACAAAATACATAGAGTATAAAGTGAGTGTGGTACACTGCTCTCTAAACTATGCCGTTGCCAAAGCAACACAATAGTAATCCATCATAGTAAAAACTACTAATCTCTGTTTTACAACTCCATATATTACATCACTATTACCCGCCGCCGAAGGGAAAACGACAGAGTGAAAATGTTTTTGCATGTGTTTATGTGTCTGTTAGCAAAATATGTCATTATCACCGGACGTTTTTTTATTGAAACTTTCAAAAAGCAATCATTGCATTTATACACGAACTGATTAACTTTTGAAGCCAACTTATTTTAAGATGGCTGCTAAAGCTAATCAACATTAGTCAACAAAGAAGTGACTATAATCTAGCTAACTAGCAATAGCTTTTTAATTAGATAGCCATTTAGCTAAAAAGATAAATAGATAACTATCTACCTACCAAATATGGCTAGAGTGTTATTTAACGATTGAGCTATTATCTAGTAATTTTGATAGTCATCTAGGCAGATGACCATATATATCTTGCTAACAAGCGGCAGCTTTTTGCCTAGATAGCTATATAGATATCCACATAAAAAGCTATTCGGCTGATCATAGGTACGTGACTGACTATCTTTCTATTTGGCAACCAAATAGCTAGTGTGCAATCTATTATTTAGCTATTATTTTGCAAATTATGATTATAGCTGTGTCCAAATTCAGGGGCTGCATCCTTCAAAGGACACGCTGTACCTGGTCTACGTGGGCCGGGTCCTTTGTTGACYACAAAGACCAGAAGAAAGAGGCTGTAAATTTGTACGTTTTAGTATTTAGCTCTATTCCTGCCCTTATAACGGTGTATATCGTCTGCCCCTGAATTTGGACACACACACACACACACACACACACACACACACACACACACACACACACACACACACACACAC